AGCGACGCCGGTGGACCGAACCACTTAGCGACGCCGGTGGACCGAACCATTGAGCGACGCCACAAAATGCCATCAGTTATAACTGTGGGAGTGAGTTAGCGTCCATATATGGCAGTAACATTCCCAGGCTGCTCGGTAGCTCATCATTTTAAAGGTCCGATCTTTAACAGAACCTCCCCTGAAGTCTTTAGGCTGCAGCGGTTCTGCTTTTCTCCGTTTGAAATGCTGCTGAATCTGCTGGAACCTGATTCTGGTGACTCACGGCTTGACGAGGAGGCGCCAGCGGCAACGCTTCTAAAATAAACAGACAGCTCAGCATCCTGTCAGTCATCTGCAGCGCTCAACTTTCTGCCATTAAGGTGAAAACTTGTTGCAGGAGCTGAGATTTGATCCAGTAATAGAAGCTGATTCCATGTCTGTTGGCGCGTTCAGCCTCAGTAGCTTGAAGAACGGTCAAAGAGCCGATGTCACTGCAGCAGAGCTGGGCTGCAGGTCAGCGAGGAGGTCCAACCGTGCATCAGATGCACCAGGTTCACACTTAGTTCACGTTTACGTCCCACAGACGCAATCAATGTGGATTCAGTAGGAATCGGGTTCAGTAGTGCTCAGGTTTCCAACATGGCGTCTGTCCAGGAAACACGCTGCAGGGAGCAGGAAAAGGAGGAAGATCCTTCAGCTCCAGCATCCTTTCCTCCGTTTCTCCTTCCTGTTCAGGTTCTGGATTCTTCAGTCTCTCCATGTTTCCTCTCTGCACCGTTTGGTCTTTAGATTCTCTCCTCCTCTCATTCTGCTGAAACCGTTTCTGGCTCCAGGTTGGGTTCAGACCAGCGACTGCAGGAACCAGACTGGTGTTCCAGATTAGCACCGTCTCTGGGTCCATGTCCAATTATGTCTTTTCTAATTAGATTTTGATTTAAACCATTTTACCCGACATGTGGCTTCTTTGCATCAGATTATTTCATGATGATTTCTTTTCGGGTTTTTTATTCCAGCGTGTCTTCCAGGCTAAGCTGTCTTATTATCTTGCTGCTCAGGCAGTAAAACCAACTGTTGAATGATCTAAATGCCATCAGCGCGCCTCCAGCTCCACTTCACTGCGTTCTCCTTCCAGCTGTGCAAACAGCAGCTCATCAGCAGCTCGTCTGAGATTCTCCTGTGGATTCAAGTTCCTCCATGTTTGTTCTGCTTGTGGCGAGTAAAGCCATGAAAATGTTCCTGATCCTGATGAATCATTGCTCTGATGATCTGTTTGTTTAACAGCAGCAGCTCCCAGTTCTGACCCCGCCCCCCCGGCCCTTCGATGTGTTTAAACTTCTGATTCAACATCTGTTATTAAAGCGGCTGTAAAGCCCTCTATAAACGTCTCCCAGTGGAGATCAATTCAGAGCCATCAGATCTTCATTTCTTGCTACGCTTGTCAGTCAGGAACTATTGGATTGTTCCTGAAAGGAAATAACCTGATCTGGACGAGACGCGCTGCATTAAGGAAGAAGAAGAAGACCTTGAATGTGTCTGAATATGATGTCAAGAAATTGTTAATGATTTGAACGAAGTAATTCCCTAAAGTGCTTTGAAAGTTTATTAGTCCAACTATCTTGGATGGTGGATGGTGGGTTTCTGCAGAACGACACCAAGATGATCTTTGAACGTTTTCCTTCAGAGGTTAATAATAATAATAATAATGAACTTTATGGATCTCACACTGGAGGATTTCCCTCTCTGCATTTAACCCCTCCCCTTGGGGAGCAGTGGGCTGTTATTGTTCGGCCCCCGGGGAGCAGCGTGGGGTTAAGGGTCTTGCTCAGGGACCCAGAGTGGAGGATATGGGGGGGAGAACTTATGGTTCCATCATCATTGATGACAATGGGTGAACTCTTTTAGTTCTCAGGCTCCTCTCCTGTGGAACCAACTACCAGTTTTAGTCCGTGAGGCAGACACCCTGTCTACTTTTAAGGCTAGGCTTAAAACTTTCCTTTTNACTCATTTAATCATCCAAAACGTTATGGAACACATTAATTAACTGAAAAATGTTGCATAGTGTGCCTTTAATAATACTACTTCAGCGATAGTTTCACTGCAAATACGATCTAGAAATATCTTAAATTAAGTCCACAGTATTGCTCCTTAATCTGAGCAGGTAAATAAGATGATTTCACAATGGGAGGGTATATTTCTACTCTTAAAATAAGGTAATTAGATATATGCACTTAAAATAAGACAATGCAATTTTTTCTTAATTAAATGTAAATTGTCTTGTTCTGTTGGCAAAATGTTCACTTTCCTCCTCAATTCAAGAACAAATGCATTTATTTTAGGAAACAATGACTTATTTAGATTTCCATCTTCTTCTATTGTTCATATGATCCCAGACTGAGAAACAGCTGAAGGTCTGAGGCTGTTCAGCCCAACATCCCATCAGTTCCCATCGGCACAGATCAACATTCCAGCAGCGATCCCAGCCTCCGATCCGGAGCCGTGTCTACAGGCTCCGCCCCCTGGTCTGACATCATTAAGATGTCCGGTCTGGAGCTGCAGGGCCTGTTAGACACCAGTTTGCTGATAAAGGAAAGCAGCTCTGGCCTTTAGGATTACAATCTGCCGAAGGAAAGCTGATTAGCTTTGCAGCTAGAAAGCTAACCCTAATTACACCAAGGCTGGCGGGATTACTCCAAGTCTCAGCTTTCCCAGGAAAACGCAGCCAGATGTTGTCATGGAGGTTAGTCTTCCGGGGAATTCTGCTTCCAGTAGCTTATTTAGAGCAGAGAGAGTTAAAGCAAGACGCCAATAAAGATAAAAACATGCTGGGACGTAGCTGCAAGTCAGCAGGTCAGAGGCTCACCGGCCTCTGATGATGCAAACCAATCAGCTTTGAATGAAGCTCCATGAAACCCAATCAGCATCCAGAGTTCATCCTGAAAGGTCTTTAAATCCACGACCCAGTCTGCCACCCACCAAGCGCTGCCACCGACCATGTCTGATGGTGACCCCATTAAACCCACCTCCACCCCCGATTCAACCCACCTCCACCATCGTAGCTAAGCTCCATCTGGCTTCTCCATGCTCTATAGTCGTCTATGCAGTCTACAGACTGACCAACTCCATCCATCTCCACTCCACTACCAGTTTTATGCCTGGGGGGGGGTAGCCCTGTTCTCACATACCTGCTTATGCAGTTAAAAGTAAAATTCAGCGCTAATGTTTCCTGCCGGGATCTGAGCGCCAAAGTCTTAAAATAATTGTATCAATAAAATTCTTCTGATTGTCTTTTTCTTTCCGTGTGAGTTTTGAAATGATTTACAGAATAAATCTCTCTCTGAAATCTATACATAAATGTATAGACCGATTTATAAATTTGTCTTTGTTTCTACAATACAGCTGAAATTCTCTCTAAATGAGCTTCTTTTAATGTAGGTTTAATTCTTTAATTCTTATTATTTTCCCTGCCTGTGTTCTGCTGCACATTTTACCAAAAGAAGAAAGGAATAAATCCACTGGTCTCCATAGAAAGCTTTACCAGCAGCAGGTTTCTGAGCAGCGCGTGGATCAGCTGACTGAAGGAAGGCTGCAAATGTTTCCCTCTTTTTAAAAATCAAAACCAGGATGAGGAAAAGTCCATTGAAATATTTGTCTTTTCTAAACCCAGCAGCAAATGAAAGCGGCTGGAACATGTCGGACATTTTCCTACGGCTGTTTGTTTGGTGTCTGGCCTCAAAGTTCGCCACAAGGAGCCAAATCCGGCTTTTTCCGGAGCTGGGATTCTCCCAGTGTCACTTTGGGAAAACCACGGCGCTGCACATCTGCATCCTCAGAGGCAGAAAAGCACAGAGACAGAAACCACCTCAAAGCGGAGGCTTGTTGGGCAGCTTTTGATGAGGAAGGTTGCCATGGAAACCAGGCAGGAAGCCTGCTAGGGATACGCTGATCTTCCATGTTGTAGAGATAGTAGCCAAGGAGACACGGGGGCACGTGACGCTCCACGCCGGCACAGCGGGTTCTCTGACGGCCGCCATGCTGGAGACGCTGCAGAACGCTGAAGAAGTAGGTCAGTAGAACATGAGAGCATCGGTCTTCATGGAAACATCAGAGAGTCAACCGAGTTACAGCAGCTGTAACAGCTGCAGAGTCATTGTGAGGATGAACAGCAGCTAATTCAGTGAAGCTTCCAACATGTCTGATTATGGAGCAGACTGCTGGAGAGCCGCAGCTTGAAGGCAGCAGATCAGGGGGTTTTTAGGCCCATAGGGTGAAAGTTTTATGCAGACGGGTCAGATTGAGGACCAGAACCGACCAGAACCCACCAGAGCCAACCAGAACCGACCAGAACCGACCAGAACCAACCAGAACCGACCAGAACCGACCAGAACCGACCAGAACCAACCAGAACCAGCGTCTATTTGGAAGCAGACTCACTCAATCAGGGTCAGAATGGTTCTCTAGTCCTCATCAGGATTTGCTTGTGTGCGAATCCCCCCCGACTACCGACTCCCAGCAGACACACTGGTTGTCCTGGTGTTAACCCAGTGTGGCCAGTTTAATGAGACATGGATGCATTCAGGGGGAAGGTCGTCTTATTTTTCTAGGTTTAAAGCAGATGTAGAATCAGCGGCGTTTCTGCTACAGAGATCGGATCGAACAGTTTGCTGCAGGTCGATCGTCTGTTTGCTCAGACGGTGACGCAGAGCAGCTCTGCCAGAAATGTTCCCATCAAAGCAACTTTAACTGAAGAGCAACCCTGCTAGCATGTGTGTCTGTTCTCATGTCCTCACCTTCAGGACAAAGTCCACCTCTGGAGCTGGGACTGAACCACACCCAGAGTCCAGATGTCTCCTGCCCCGTCCCTCAGAGAGCTGCTCCACCATCCAGGTATCAGAGTGTGAGAGAGCGAAGGCTAATCCAATCAGGGAGCAGAGGAAAGCTGTTCAGCCACTCAGAGGAGATACGGAGCAGAGAAAAGGTTTGGTCCATCTCCCTCCCTGCCTCTCTGTTACTTAGAGAATAAAGAAACTGCATTACAGAGGCCCCCCAGGCGGAGATTAGCTCTTCCTCTGGCTAATGGCGCAGAGCACAGGAAGGCTGCCTGACAGAAAATCAGGTTTGCTTTCCATTTTCTCCTGCTGGTTCGTCAGACTGAGGGAAATATGGCTGGGAGAGAGCCACACTTTCAGCAGATAACGGGAAGGCTGAGCCTAATACAGCACAGCTGCTCTGCTTGACCTTTGGACGTGTCAGGAGAGGATTCAGGCAGTATAGAGTTAACCCAAGCTAACAGTGCTAACTGCTAACAGAAGATGCTATTTAAAAGTCAACTCTGATCATTTTGTCTCAGCTTGAAGGAAACAGTCTGACTGTTTAGCAGCAACCTCTCCGTCAGAATCACAGCAATAATAAAACTGATCCTCCATGACGACAGACATGCTCTCAAACATTTATACGACACGCCGCGATTTTTCCTTTTTTACATCATATTAGCACATCTAGATTACTGTAGTTGATCGGCTTCTTCTGGAAACATCCGCAGAAACAGGAAGTTAAAGGGAAACGTGTCTGGGAGGCGAGCCGCCGTCCGCAGAGGGAAGTTACTTCCTGCAGCACCTTTCTGACAAAAACATTGTTTTTACTTTGATTGGATTAACATACAGATATAAAACGTTTGGCTGCTTCCTCCATCATGAAGAACTTCACTAAACAACAACCCAGAAACGCTGCAGACGCAGAGAAAATGATGTTTGTAGAAGAGCTGACTTTAACCTTCATCATGTCTGCAGGTCGACTGAATATAGAGTGAATAGAAATATTATGGATGGAGCTTCAGGCTGGTCAATTTACATTTCACAGAATGTGGGACATGTTTTCCCCTCCAGCTCTTTAATAGTTATATTTAATATTTATTATGTTGAAGGTGGGTTTGCTTCCCTGAAAAAGGAAATAAACGTCCTGCTTCGTGCAGATCTATGCAGTAGAGGTGAGCGGTAAGCAAACAAAGCTGACAGTAAAATCCTGAAACAGCGGATTCCAGGTTAACAAACTTTGAAGGGAGGAAAAAAAAGGAACATCTGGAATAAAACATCTGCATGTTCAGGATCATTGCAAAGGATTAAATACACATAAAAATCACAATACTGGCAAAACCATTCAGCCCGGCTGGTTTCATATGATTTATGATATAAAGACAAATTCTGTGGAAAATGTTTCTTGTTATTTTTTCCAATTAAATTATTTGTTTCATCTTTAAAATACCTTGAACATAACTTTAGACTTTGGACTGATTTCCTCATTTCCAGCAGTTAATTAGATGTTATGATCAGTTCGTCAGACGCAGCAGAGCTGCTGCAGGTGCGGTTAGCTTAGCCGCCTCTGGCTACCGTTCCTGCAGAAGCTTCTGGAGGGAAACTGAATGAAGCTGGAAACTCACATTGACGTAATGGACAAGGTGCTCCTGCTCGTTGACCTTGTAGGTCTTAATGCCGTACTCCTTAGCCAGGCGCAGGATCCGGTTCTGGGTGGGCCCGACATAGGCCCCGCCCAGATCCACCCACTTGGTCTCCTTGTTCTGGAAACGGAAAGAAAACCGCTGAGGTTAGAATGATCTAGAATGAAGGGAAAACAGCCAATCATGGCGCCTGCTGCACCAGGAACACGTTGAAGTAAGCTAGGAGGCGGAGCTTCTCAGCGACTGGCCCCCAGGGGTCCTTTTGGTCGGCCCCCATGCTGCCATTAACATATTTAAACTGTGAGGCATCAGACCAGGAGAGGAATGTTGATTTTTAGAGTTAACCTGTTAAGAACGACCAAATTATAAAATAATGACCTGAATGACTTTAAATCATGGCTTTCCAAAGTGACTGCAGAGCGTTTTCCGTCTCACTGCAGGTAAAATGATCACGTTCAGCTTCCGTCTGCTGGAGAACTGAATGTTAAACTTTAACCACATGGCTGTCAGACAGCTAAACACGTTCTTATGGTCTGAAATAATATCCTGGGAGACGTTTGGTTGCAGCTTTAGTTCTAGTTTTCTTGGGTTCAATCATTAGTTGTTTTTGTTTCTGAGGAGGAAGCTGGACTTAAAAAGGACCGATGAGGCGCAAACCTTCCCCCCCAAACTGTGTCCAGAAATATCTGCATCCTCCTTTATAGCTGAGAAGAACATATTCTAAAGCCTGGAGACGAGCATCTGCAGAAACCTGGTTTAGCATCATCAAAGTTCCGTATTGGTCCTGAGCAGCTGGTCTTACCCGCACAGTGAAGGTGCGACCACCGACTCGATCCCTGGCCTCCAGAACCACAGGATTCAGCCCGCTGGCCTTTAGCAGCTTGGCAGCACTCAGCCCTGCAAACACAGAAGCAGACGATGAGTCAGGAGAGCATCTAGGTGATCTTCAGATGGCTCCTTCTGTTCTATAATAGATCTGCACATTAAACCAAGGCAAGGCAAATGTATTTGTATAGCACAATTCAGTACAAAGACAATGCAAAGTGCTTTACATGATTAAAATACAGGAAGAATCAAAGAAAGTAGGAAAAAAAATAAAATAAAAAACGCAGAAACAAAAAAGAATATTAAAAACAGTTGGACTAAAGAAAATATGTTTTGGTTGAACTGTTTAACTAGAACAGTGGAAGGCAATCCTAAACAAATGTGTTTTTAGTCTTGATTTAAAGGAACTCAGGCTTTCCGCACTTTTACAGTTTTCTGGAAGTTTGTTCCAGAAAACCAGACTGAGGACTGGAGAAAAGATGGTTAATGAACCTTTTTACCAAAGGAAGAACCAGGAGACACGGAGCCCCGCCCCCAACCAATCAGAAAGCTGCTCATTCTGACATTGAGACCACCATAGCTGGCTGCAGACTGTGGGGTAAACAATGTGGAGATTTGTCTGTTCTTAGCCTCCCAGGCTGCAAACGAAGGTCATCAGAGATCAGAAAGAGTCTCAGCTTCCTTCATGGCAGGAAGGGAGGACTGCTGTTATTAGGAGATCCATCTGACCAGAGAGAGATAGATTAACCTCACAGGGAACGGCCTTCATCAACTCAAGCCGTTTGTCCTCCAAATGTTGGAGTGTTAGAAAGTTCTTTATGCAGGAGGTGGGTTGGTTCCCCCTTGGGGGGGGATTTTTGTAATGTATAAATGTATGTTCTATAACGCTGCAGTCAGAGCTCTATCGCTCCGTCTGACGACGTTAAATAAATCTGAACCTTATTTCTTGCAGGAATGTCTCTGCCTCAGCTTCCTGACTCCAGATGACCCACAAACATTCAGGAACAAACTATAAACATTTAATCTGATCAGAAACGGACAAAAATTTGATCATGTCTTCATTTTGCTCGATATCGTTTCTATATAAACAACCTGTACAAACTTATGAGAGTCAAGTTAATAAATCCAAGATGCATCTAAGAAATGTTCATGATAAAAACAAAACTCAAAAAGCTGAATAAAAGCAGGAGAATCAATCCTGTAGAAACAGCCTGTATTAAAATGATAGATATTCATATATAGAAGGAAAACTGCGATACGTTGATGTGGATTTATGGTCCACCCTCTGACCAATGACCTCCCTCCCCAGGTCCCTGCGTCTTCCTGGCCATCGGCCCTCAACCTTCTGCCGAACGGTCGGTAACAATGAGAAACTAAATATCTTTAGTTTAACTAGATGATCCATAAAGAAAATAAAGCTTGTTTTTAGGAAAAGTTTAAGAGTGATTCTGGTTTCTGGTTTCTAATGAAACAGTAAAAAAGAAAGAGCAGTCTGCTCCTCTTCCCTCCCTCTGAGAGCTTTCTGTACATCAGGACATGATAATGGATGCGATGGAGAGGCTGATATCCATCAGATGCAGCTGCCTTAAAAGCAGCCCTGCTGTCCTGAGAGCCCAGAGGCCTTCGCTCAGCCAGGAGACATTCCCCGTCTAGAAGGACAAACACGGTGGAGGCGCAGCGGCGCTTTCTGCACCTGGAGCAGCAAGAAAACCTCTGATCTCCTTCCTGAACAATCCAGGACACTCAGCAGAACCTGGACCCTCCGGATCCCTTCCCTTCAGCTCAACTTCTGCACTGAAGGGTGTTTATCGTCCCGTTTCCGTTCCCCTCTGAATCCGATCCGTGCCGAGTTCAGACCGAGCTTGGATCAGTTAACCGTGCCGAGCTCTGTTCCTTACGGCCGTTAACACATCATGCTAGCACGGTTAGCACGGTTCCTCGCCTCCTAATGGCGATCTATGGTACTGCTGCTTTCTAGAGGGAAACAAGCAAACCAACATGGCGGAAGTTTGCTGAGAATCAGGCGAAGAAGGTAGCCTTTTGTGAATTTCATTGACAGAGTCGGCTTTTGGGAAGTAGATACGACAAACGATCGTCTGATCAGTGCTTCCAGATGCAGGAAACAACGACAGACGTTGAGGTTCATCGCGCTGCTAAGCAGAATCATTACTGGATATATCGTGCGGCGCGGTGGGAAGCTGGGATTTTAGGAATGATTATGGAGGCTGACTGTGAGGAGATGATGCTGTCTGCTCATGTTATCTGAGAACCGGGTCAGAACTGAACCGCACCGAGCCCTACTGATGGACTAGAACCATGTTAGAGCGGTCCGGTTCAGCTCTGCACGCCATTTATGTTCAGCAGTTACCATGGTTACCGTGCTCAGCTGATCTCAGCAGGGTTTCTAATGGGTGGTGGAAATGGGGCTTGGTAGGACGGAGTATTCTGCTGATGAAGCTGATATCAATGGTACCTGAAGACAAATCCTCCTCTTCCTCACCAGAAAAAAACAAAGAATCCTTTCAAAGATAAAACCCTCCAGGACAGACGGCCATTTTGAAAGAGTGAACGCTGCAGAGTTCTGATCAAAGCAGAGGCACTGAGAGCCAATCGGTCCTCATGTTTCACAAAGAATCCATCAGATCAGCATCTCAAAGACTCTCAGCTGGAGACGGATTTTTAAATTCAGGCCCTTTGCTTTTCTTCCACCCCTCTGATCATGTGACTGTTCCCGCCATGTTGTCCTGGACGGGTCATTTCCTGTTTGGGCTGTGATCTCCTGGCTGCTGCCTCCTCTGGATGACTTCCTTCACTCCTAAATGCTTTTTCCAGCTATTATCTGCAGTCTGAGCCTCTTGGAGGTGGAGGAGCAGCTTAATCCAAGTGTCTCCCTGCAGGTCCAGATGCTCTCCAGCGCTCGCTCTTTGGATGATGGTCCAGATGTCATGGCTGTAGTTGAACCGTAAGAACGTAGAGCGATGCCTTTCGTCCCAGCTCTGCTTCATCTCAGCAGCATCAACCCACCAGTTCAGTCAATCCCTCACTTCCTGTTCCCATGAAGCATGAAGCTTCCCAGGAGTGAAGAGCTTCCAAATATTTCTGGATTGGAAACTCCCAAAGGTCCCAAACGAACAGCATCTTTAACGCTTCTGGTGGGAAACAGAGAAAAACTAATATTTCATTCAGTCATCAAACACCTTCATCACTCCACAGACCATGGGAGATGTTTGCAGGAGCTGAAGCAACCTGATGAAACCATCAGGCATCAATCTGACTCATTAGCTCAGCATTTCACAGAAACCATAATGATTCAATTCTATTCAGTTTATTTCTATAGCTCCAATTCACATCATGTCATCTCACAACAGCTGATATTTCTCTCCAGGATGGAGTCACAGCCAAAC